TTCAGTTTTACTTTTGAAGCAATTTTTAGTGCATCAAATTTTAATTTGAACCACGTTTTTTGTGTTTCAGATTTTAATTTGGAGCACATTTTTTATGCTTCAGTTTTAATTTGAAGCTATTTTTAATGCTTCAAATTTCAATTTGAAGCAAATTCTTTTTGCTTCAGTTTTATTTTGAAGCAATTTTTAATGCTTCACATTTTTATTTGAAGCATATTTTTTTGCTTTAGTTTTACTTTGAAGCAATTTTTAATGCTTCAAATTTCAATTTGAAGCAAATTCTTTTTGCTTCAGTTTTATTTTGAAGCAATTTTTAATGCTTCACATTTTTATTTGAAGCATATTCTTTTTGCTTCAGTTTTACTTTGAAGCAATTTTTAATGCTTCAAATTTCAATTTGAAGCAAATTCTTTTTGCTTCAGTTTTATTTTGAAGCAATTTTTAATGCTTCACATTTTTATTTGAAGCATATTTTTTTTGCTTCAGTTTTACTTTGAAGCAATTTTTAATGCTTCAAATTTCAATTTGAAGTAAATTCTTTTTGCTTCAGTTTTATTTTGAAGCAATTTTTAATGCTTCATATTTTTATTTAAAGGAAATTCTTTTTGCTTCAGTTTTACTTTGAAGCAATTTTTAATGCTTCAAATTTCAATTTGAAGCAAATTCTTTTTGCTTCAGTTTTATTTTGAAGCAATTTTTAATGCTTCACATTTTTATTTGAAGCAAATTCTTTTTGCTTCAATTTTATTTTGAAGCAATTTTTAATGCTTCACATTTTTATTTGAAGCAAATTCTTTTTGCTTCAATTTTATTTTGAAGCAATTTTTAATGCTTCACATTTTTATTTGAAGCAAATTCTTTTTGCTTCAATTTTATTTTGAAGCAATTTTTAATGCTTCAAATTTTTATTTGAAGCAAATTCTTTATCCAAAATTTTTATCTAAGCTTACTATGTAAGAATAAATCAGAATAGCTGTTCAAACTAATTAAAATTAATAAATGAAATTTCCTATATTAAGTATATTACAACAGATCTATACACCTAATGTTATTTGAAAATTGAATTTTAAAATATTGAGTAAAATGAGTAAAATTGAGTAAAACTCACCTGAAGATGAAAAGTACTTAACTTTTTTAGGATAGTTCGATTGGGTTAAAATTTTTTGCAGGTTTTAGTTTTAAGTAATTTTTAATGCTTCAAATTTCAATTTGAACTAAATTCTTTTTGCTTCAGTTTTATTTTGAAGCAATTTTTAATGCTTCAAATTTTAATTTTAAGCAAATTCTTTTTGCTTCAGTTTTATTTTGAAGCAATTTTTAATGCTTCAAATTTTAATTTTAAGCAAATTCTTTTTGCTTCAGTTTTATTTTGAAGCAATTTTCTCAAAGATAAAATAGATGGATCATAAATTGTAATTTATATTTGAAAATCTTCAAAGCCATGTAACTCTGTGAATTTAGGGACCCTTCTCATAAGCTATAGCTTATTCGAAAGAACATCAAAAACTGTATCTAAAACCTTGGGGTAATTTTGTTTATAAAAACTTTCTCATAGATAAAATAGATGGATCATAAATTGTAATTTATATTTGAAAATCTTCAAAGCCATGTAACTCTGTGAATTTAGGGACCCTTCTCATAAGCTATAGCTTATTCGAAAGAACATCAAAAACTGTATCTAAAACCTTGGGGTAATTTTGTTTATAAAAACTTTCTCATAGATAAAATAGATGGATCATAAATTGTAATTTATGATCCATGCCTCTTTTCACTATTCTTTTCACTATGATCATCATGCCTCTTTTCACTATTCCTATCCAAAAGAGTTGCCAGTCATAAAGAAAAATAAATTTACGCAAACTGATGAAAGTTGTTTTGGAATATGTGAGCTCTGTATGATTTCCAATGAAAGTTTAAATGAAATGTTAAAAGAATATTGTGTTAAACAGAAGTTCCCCAATTGTTTAATAAATTTTTAATAATTTAATCATATTGATATTTAAGGTGAAGTATCAGTTCCATCTGACAACTTAAATGTTTATGAATCTGTCTTTAATAAGAAATCTAATTATCGTGGAATAAAAGGAAAATTTTCCTCTTCTGAGTATTTAATGAGTTTTGGTGATTGGAAATTAGGAAAACCTTTGCGACATAATGGTAAAATTTGCTTGATGGTTTATAAGATTTCTTTTAAGGATTGAATGAACCGATATTTTGCAAAGAACAGACAAGTTTTCCTTTTGATGATCATGACCGTAGTAATGATACTCCTCGGTTTGAAAAGGTTTCTATGGATATGACAGAAGATGATATAAAAGAACAATTACTTTTCCCGTCTAAATGGAAGCTGTCTCAATTTTTGGTTAATTAGTTAATAGAAATAACTTTTTATTGTTTAGTCTTTCTTTAAAACACACGTTTTTTTACAAAAAGCGTTAATCTTGCTCGACATATTCAGTATGGACAGGCAATTCCTCACGCTTCTTCGGATCCAGATTATATGTTTAGAATTTTATTGCCAGAGATTCGTTTTTGGGGTGATAATAATGTTAATATAGCTAAAAAGAATAGTGTCAGACGATCAATAAATAGAGAAATTAAACATCGTTGTGATCGAATTGAAAGCCTTGTAAGTGTAAATATTATTAACTTATTGTTTTCCTTTTAGTACTATAATATAGTTGCCAATGAAATTTCACTTGATCGTCAAGCATTTTCTCTTAATGGTATTATTTCACAACGTCGTTTTGTTGAAGATATTGGAATTTATAATAAGATCGATAAGGATTTATTGTCTTCTATTTATTTATATGAAAATGATGCTGTCGAGTCTTTTCTTTTGCATGTTTCTGTCGATCCTTTTTTTAATGTTTTATTAAAATTTGCAGAATTTGAATTTTAAGTTTCTGATTATTATTCCACAAATTTTATATTTATAAGTTTTATTATTTATATTATTTCAGGTTTGGAGAGGGATGTGTAACGCATCTCATCCATACTTCAAATAATATGTTATTATATCTTCATAAAAGTTATTTTCTGATTTTGTTTTATAAAATTCAATTTAAAAATTTGTGGCCATATATAATTTTTGTTTATTGATAAAATTTGTTTTTGTTTGAAATTTATTTCAAATATTAATCACTGTCTTTAGTTTTTTACCTTATTATTATTCATACATGCTCTTACACTTTATTTTAAATTTTTAGCGTTATTTTAATTTTAATTCTGTATTACAAATAATAATATGGTTTCAAAAGATCAAAAAAGACGTGAAAAAATGCGAGAAAAATCAAGAAAACGCAGAAGTGCAAATGACTCAATTAGTTCACTTGACTCTGTTTCTGAAAAACGTATAAATATAAATGATGATCAAAGTATTTAATAATCTAGATTAGTTTTCTCATGTGTTAATTTTAGGCTCGATAATTTCTGACGTTTTTACTGTTCCTGTAACGCCAATTCACAGCCAGGACGATATTTCGGAAATTCTTAACGGTATTGTTCAAACTGATAACTTTTAACTGTTTTGCTATTTAGAAAGTAATGAGTTTTGTAAAAGAGGAAGACCATGTAAGAAAAGACGCGGACCTGGAAGAATGCCACAAAATTTCGATCCTGTTTCTCAGACAATAGCAGATTTTGAAGATGAAGTTATGCAAGGCATTTGTCGCGATTTAGATCTTGTCAATATTGGTATTTATAATCAAATTCAGCTATTAGTTAAGTTTTTAGAATCTGCATCACAAACAAATGATTCTGTTACTACCTTACGACGCTCTACTCGACATCCAAGCACTATTAGTCGGTTTTCTGACATAACTGTTTCTGATAATTGGCCATTAAATCGCCCTATTACTCAGCGATGTTATGCATATCACTTTGGTCTTGGATGTGGTGCTAAAACTGCAAAACATATGCCATCATATTATAATTCTCTTTACAAAGTATATTTAATTAAATTATTTACCTTGAAAACTATTTATAGAGTGGAGTTTTAACTGAAAGTCGCTGTCCTTTTTGCAAGGCTTTATTGTTACCTTCGGAAACGATTGGACCGTCTTCATTTGTTAAATGTTGTGCTAAAGGACGAGTCAATTTAAATCAACGTTTCGCTTCTTTGCAAGATTTTCCACTTGGAATTGATTTAATGCTGCACAATCCTGCCAATTCTTCTACACGAAATCGTCTTTTTAAACATGTGTTACGTTATAATGACCAACTTTCCTTCGGCCAAGTTCGTATGGAGCGCTCTTTTGACTTTCCTGAATCATATCGGATTGTCAAAACAAATAACATGTTTAACTATATGTTATTCGATATTCGCCAGCCTGGTGGACAACAGCAACCAGAGCTACGAGGCCAACTGTACACAATACCACCGAATTCTTCTGAAGCACGACTTAATGATCTTTCTATTGAAAATGAATTGGACGTTTGTTAAAATATTAAATATATTTTGTTTATATTTTGTTTTTAGCCAATTATTCTCAATGAACTATTTAATATTTTAAAACAACATCATTGGATGGCAGAACTTTTCAACATTGCCTCTCACGTTTATGAAGGTCTTTCGGCCGACTTACAGCTTCAGTTTCGAATGCTTGTAGTTGATGCCAATAAACGCGGAACCGAGCGCACTATTGAAAACGTTATTTATTAAATTTTATTTTAAATTAACAAACAACTTTAGGTCCCACCAATTGATCTTAATCCAACTGATGCTTCAGTATTACGGCAAATCCATCCTGGCAGACTTGGTGTTGAAACCGCTGCTGGAAGTCAGCTGGTCGCGCAATTTTATTTGGATAATGGAGAGAACGTTCCTCCAGAAGGCAAATATGATGTTATTCTTACCGGGCAAAAAGGAACAGGTCAAGTCAGTCTGAAATGGTGGCACCGTGCAGCTGATGCAGCATGTTTCCCTCTTCTGTTCCCAAAAGGACAAAATGGATTTGGTTTTTAATAGTCAATAATTTAATGAAACTATATTTTAAGAAAATGGTATAAAGCTTATGTTGCGACCAGGAGAAATTTTGCAAGGAACCAGACGTGTAATTGTTGGAGCTGATGGAGAATTGGACCCGGAAATTGATCTTGGAGAAGGCGAAGAATTCCTTCATGACGTTGACACACGACAAGAACATCAGCGTGAACATGTTTCGCGAGCTCAATATTTTCGTTACATGTGTCAACAGAGAGGAACCTCATGGAAAGCACCACATTGGCTTTGGGAGTGGGGTCAGCTTGCACAACTCTACACGATTACTTACAACCAAAGAATGGAGGCTCAAAAGGTCCAGTATATGAAGCAATTGCAAGGGAAGTATCGCTATGTTCGTCAGGCTGCTTTGCTGGATTGGCTTAAGAAACTTTTGGAAAAACAAGGCATATAAACATATCTAACATATCTAAAAGTTTAATGAAAATTTTAGGCTTGCAAGGACCCATTGGCCAAGTCTATATGACAAATGAACACTTTAGAGGATCTCGACAATATTACCAAAAGCAGTACGCTGCTTGCATGACAATCTGCAGGGAAATTGGTTCGATCGATCTTCTTATCACATACACTATGGATCCGTCTGCACCAGAGTTAAGTCACATACTTCTTGAACATCAAACCTGGTCAGACCGCCCAATGGAAGTCTGCCGCATCTTTTTAGACAAGCTTTCTGAACTCGTAAAAGACATTACTGAACGGGAAGTACTTGGTCCAGTCAAAGGATGGTTTCACAGTCTTGAACATCAAAAACGGTTTTTTTATTTTGCGTTCATTAATCATGTTTTTAGTGGCCTTCCACATGTTCATTTCGCAGTGATCTTGGATTGGGAAAAAATGTTTAAATCTGGTCGTATATCATCGAAAGAAGAATATATGGAAGAATATATCTCTGCAGAAATACCAGATTTGCCAAATTCAGATGATCAAACAGAATCGGCAACTTCTCAAAGGACTTTGCATCAAATTGTTATCACAAAACACATTCACACGTGTAATCCACAATGCCATCGAGATGGAATAAGATGTGCTAAACGTTTTCCCGTAAGAATATTTAATTTTATTATTTTAATATGCTAATTAAGCATGCTTATTCCGACAATAACATATACTCGGACAACGCTTACCCAAAATATCGCCGCCGTCCTCCACCACCATCGGAGCTTGAACGCAAAAATACTCCTGAATTATTTGGAAATGCTTACGAATATGACGATCGCTATGGCAAACACCATGTTGTTACAAACCAATATGTTGTGCCATATAATCATTTTCTGTTATCGAAATATAAATCACAGTATATTAATGTATAAAAATATACATAATTTGTTATTTAGCATTAATGTTGAACTTGTAGCTGGCGATGGCTGTGTAAAATATGTGACTAAATATGTGATGAAAGGAGCCGATATGGCATTCATTAAAATTGAACAAGAAGGAATTGAAGGTGGTGCTTGGCGCTATGATGAGTTTCATCAATTGCGACTTGCACGTTACATAACATCTATGGAGGCTTTTTTGTCCCTTTGGGGTACAAAATTGGTTGTGAGATCGCATATAGTATTTATACTTTGTATTTTGTTTTTAATTACCTCTGTTCAGGTTGATGAACTTGACATTCACGGACCTCAGGGTCATCATGTTGCTGTTGAAGAAGGAAGAGAGGTAGAGATTGCTGAGGAAGTTCAAAGAAGATTGAATGAAGGAGAAGAACGCCGCACCCAATTAACGGCCTATTTCGATTTTAATCGTCAAAGACAATTAATTGGTGAACCACCTGCTGGCTTAACTTATGGTAATGCATATCGCCAACTACGCTATAATGTGCACAAAAAGAACTGGCAAATATCTGTATATCAACATCACAAGAAGCTTTGCCGAATTCGGACAGTTTCGCCTACGAACTTAGAACTTCTTGCAATTAGAGTATTAATAATCATATTTGTAAGTAAAACTGACTTTTAGATTTTGCTTACTGTCGTTTTTGATCCTACTTGCTGGGAGGAATTGCGCACTTTTGATAATGTTGTTTATCCAACATTTTTGGAAGCTGCCAAGGCTCGAGGGCTAATGTCTGATGATGTCATTTGGAGAAGAACAATCCAAGAAGCATTCGATTCTAATAAGCGCATCCAACAGCGCATTCGTTGGCTTGCCATGTTCTTTGGGTCCACAAATTTGACAAATCCAACTGCGTTACTCGACTATGTAGTTCAAATGCCGCAAGATTGGCTTGTATGTATTATATTAATTATTTTTTACTTTAATTTTAGTATGGGACACGCGTTGCTCAATTGGATTTTGAGGCACGCCGTGACTATGTTTTGTGCAATATCGAATGGTTCTTAAGAGCAAATGGGATACGCCCTGATGAGATTGAAAGAGAAGACGGTACATTTGAAACGGCTTGCGAGAGAATTCGGTAGTGATAAGACTTATATTGAATTTATATTTATTGTTACAGACTTCCACGACCATCCCTCAGAAATATTCAACCAGAACTGCTTAACGATGCAGAAATCGATCCTGAAATGTTGATACGAACTCATGTTGATAGGCCCTTCCTAGAAGAACATCAAAGGGGCTCAACACAAGATTACTATCTTCGTCTTTTCTATAATGATCCTCGCCCAACAGAGGAACAACAAACCTTCATTGATGAAATTGTTCGAGGTATGTGGAACGCACGTCACGTCATCGACGGTGCTGAACATACTTTTGCACAAGACATTCCACGTTATTTCTTCATAACAGGAGAAGGAGGCTCTGGAAAGACATTTATGTATAATGTATGTTTATAACAATAGATTTAGTTTATAAATTAAATTTATAGAAATTAATTGCTTTTCTACATGCTAATGAATTCATGATTATGCCTATGGCGAGTACCGGGATAGCTGCTGAGCTTCTTTATGGTGGGTCCACTATTCACAAGAGACTGTGTCGCCAAAAGCATGTGGATTCTTCTACACAGCCTTTCGTCGATTATCGCAGTCAATTCGCTGATACACTACGAAGACTACATGGCATTATCATTGATGAAGTAAGCATGCAACACAAGGATGTGTTGGACTTTGTCGATCGACTGTTTCGTTCTGTTGCTCCTCGATCACTACGAAATGTACCGTTTGGTGGAAAAGTAAATTCAGAAAATTTCTATTTATAATAAAAACATTTTAGTGTATTGTTCTTGGGGGAGATTGGAAGCAACTTCTTCCTGTCGTCGCAGGTGGCACACTTTTACATCAATATGATGCTTCCATTAAGAATACCAACCTTTTCAAGAACTTCATTACAAGGAAATTAAGATCTAACCTTCGATTACTTCCTGGTCAAGAACAATACCGAACATTTTTAAAATGCGTTGGAACAGGAATGTTGAATGATTCAGATGAGCGTGTTCAACTCCCAGTTAACATTTGTGTTAATTCTCGAGAAGAATTAATAAACTTTGTTTATCCGCAAGACCTGCTTCAGTCGGCAGTTCAGCGTTGGGAAGATTTCTGTGGTCGTGCCATTTTGTGCCCACTCAACACCGAAACTTTTGAAATGAACAATATTATTATGGTATAATTTAAATGTATATTTAATATTTAATAAAAAAATTAGGATCGTATTGTTGGACATGAGCAGACATATTATTCAATTACAACACCGATTATGGATGATTTGAATCTTGAGAACAACGTTTCTGACATTGATTATGAAAATTTGACAAGGCAAACACCGCCAGGAATTCCAGAACATGTTCTTCGTGTGCGTATTGGAGCTGTCATGATGATTATTATCAATCTATCTGTATGGACTAAATGTTTTTATATTATTAATATAATTAAGGTTCAAAATGGCTTGTGCAATGGAACTAGAGTTCAAATTGTTGGTTTGGGCCAAAATTTGATTCGCTGCCGAATTTTATCTGGCTCTGGAAAAGGGGTGGAACATGATTTGTTTAGAACGAGATTTCAATATGGTGCTGACCCAAAGGCTCCACAAGAAGGGATGGTTCGATGCGAACGGGTTCAGTTTCCGTTGCGTCCTGGTGCTGTTATGACTATTAATAAGTCTCAAGGGTATATATTTTTTTTTAAATAGTTATGTAAAATATTTATTAGCCAAACTCTTTCATGCGTCGGAATTGCACTTGACCATTCTCAGTGCTTTTCCCATGGACAACTTTATGTAGCTCTTTCAAGAGCACGTGACGCTGACAGTGTTAAAGTCGCCACGCTCCGCAAAGACCGCAGAGTGAAAAATCCAGTCATTACTGCAATGATTGATGAAGAAGATTTTAACGAGCTTGGACCAATGGAACTTGCCATGTCAGCCGGCCAGGAACCAGTTCTCATTGAACGAATTCCACATGAACAGGTATTTTTTAATAACATTTACAAATTATTAATTAATATAGACAACTACATCGTCTACTGATATTATTTCACAACAGCCAACAACATCGGCTAATGCTATAATTCAACAACAGCCAACAACATCGGCTACTGAATCTACACAGGCAACAACATCGCCAAATACTGTACAAAACACGACAGCACAAAAATCTGCTGCTTCACCAAATTACTTCCTTGACAACGTCACTGGCGACGGAGATTGTCTATTTCGGTTTAATTAAATAGTTTTAATTTTACAATAACTTATATAGATCAATTGTTCGTTCTTTGTATGCTGGATCGGAAGGATTAGCTTTACACGCTAATTTTCTTTATGAAGACTATCAACGTGCATTAAGGAGACTTATAGCACGCCGCTACCAAGAAGACCTGCACAACATCGCAGATGAACAACTCACCGACGAACTCATTCATGAGATCGAATGGGATGCTCCGCACATTCGTCAAGCTGGACTTCGTTTGGATGTGACAGATCCTCGAAGATCCATGCGAGAATATAGTCTTCATATGATGCAGCCAGCAAATAACAACAACACAAGATATGGATCGCACCTCGAAGTCCGATATGCTGAAATTGTTTTGGGACGTCGTATTCTCATCGTTGAAAATCTCCGACGACGCGTAGTTGATGGAAATGGCCGTGTTCAGTGGAGAATTATGCCAAACGAATATCAAGGAATTTTCCTTTCTCCTGGACTTTCAGCAGAAGAAATGGGGCTAACAACTATTACGGAATTTGGACAAGTTTTTCAAATCCTACGCGCACACAATATGGACAATACCATCGTCCTCCGACTTGAAGGCTTACACTATCGACCAATATATTTGGTAGAATATTTTTGCAATAATAAAAATGAATTAAAAATTTAAGCGTCCAATGCCTGAAGAACATGGTGAAGGTAATGCCAGGATTTTAAATTTGCTGGGCGAAGTTCCAGATGAACCTTGGACACCGCAATAATAATTTTGAAAATGAATATGCAATTTTGATGTTTGGAGTTTTGCGAAGTTTGAATATATGTTTGAATTGTACTATGATTTAATTGTAAACATTGTAAGCAATTTAAATTTGTTAAAATATTTATAAAACTTTGTTTTTAAGGAATTTTTGTGTTGTGTTGTTTTTTATTTGATAGTTGTTTGGAATCTTTGTTATGTTGTTTAAATATTTAGGATGGTTTATTTTTTGGTTGTTTTGGTTTACAATTTGTTTGGCTTTTACATTAGTTGAATTTCTGGAATATATGTCTTTGGATGTTTGGATTATAAGATTTTTGGATGTTTTGATTATCAGTTTTAGGGTTTTTTTGAAGAAATTTGAAATGTTTGGATTAATGTATGTAGTTAAATTCATAATAAAATTTAAAATTTTTGTTCAGAAGTAAAGACGATTTATTTTGCTATATTTTGGATGCTGAAGTATTTTTGAATTGAATTTTATGTAGTTTTATGTGGATTTAAGAAAAATATTGAGATTTGTTTGGATAAATGTATGAATCTTAAATTACTAAATAATATTATACTTTTAGTTAAGGGCTAAACGCGTTTTGTTAGAAATATTTTGGTTGTTGAGTTATTTATTTTGGCTTGGATTTTGATTTGTTGTAATGTTTTGGATGTTTGGATTTTTAGTTCTTTGGATTGTGGGGAAATATAAAGGAAATTGCTTGGGTAAATTTATATTGTTTAAATTATTAAATAATATTTAAACTTTTTGTTAAGGATGAAAATGTGTTTTGTTGTGAATATTTTGGTTGTTTAGCTATTTATTTTGGATTTTAAGACGTTGGGATGTTTTGGAATTGAATTTTTCGTGATTAATTTAAATGTTTTGGATTTTTGGAAAAGTATTGCGAATTGCTAGGATTAATGTATGGAGTTTAAAATAATTAAATAAAATTTAAAATTTTCGTTAAGGATGCATTAAGATTATTATGAAAATATTTTGTATGCTAAGTTATTTTTTGGATGGAATTTATATTGTTTGGATTGTATGGTTATAAGTTTATTATATTTTTGGTGTTTGGTTTTTGTGTTTGCTGAACTTTGAATGCTAAATTTGTTAGATGTTTTGGTTATTAATTGGTTTGGGTCTATTAAATTTTGGAAATTATTTTTTGTTTAATAGCGAGATATTATGTTAATATTTTTAATTCTTTGATTGTCTATTTTTACTTTAATATGTTAATGTTGTTTTTATATATTGAGCCATTGAAATATTAAATCTAAATTTTGTTTTTAAATGTTACAATAACTTTTATTTTAGGTTTGGGGAGGGATGTGTAATGCATCTCACTCATTCCTAAGAATTTAAATTTTCTCCACTTTTTGGCTCCTTATATTTATTTTGCTAAGTTTATTCTGTTAGTTTATTTTTATCATTTTGTTTGCTGTTTATCTATTTTAATTGAATGTTTTTTGCTTTTTATATATTGAGCCAGAAAAATTTTATTTAAATTTTGTTAATTAAGGTTACAATATCTTTTATTTTAGGTTTGGGGAGGGATGTGTAACGCATCTCACTCATTCCTAAGAATTCAAATTTTCATTCTTTTTGGCTCCTTATATTTTTTCACGATAAGTATACTTTGTTTAATTTATTTTGTGTTATTTTGAATGATGTTTTTTTGCTTTCTTTAATTTAATAATATTAGTTGCCTTATTTATATTGAGCCAGAAAAATTATATTTAAATTTTGTTAATTAAAGTTACAATAACTTATATTTTAGGTTTGGGGAGGGATGTGTAACGCATCTCACTCATTCCTAAGAATTCAAATTTTCAGCAATTTTTGGCTCCTTATATTTTTTCTCGATAAGTATACTTTGTTTAATTTATTTTGTGTTATTTTGAATGATGTTTTTTTTGCTTTCTTTAATTTAATAATATTAGTTGCCTTATTTATATTGAGCCAGAAAAATTATATTTAAATTTTGTTAATTAAAGTTACAATAACTTTTATTTTAGGTTTGGGGAGGGATGTGTAACGCATCTCACTCATTCCTAAGAATTCAAATTTTCAGCAATTTTTGGCTCATTATATTTTTTAATTTTATTTTTTTTAATTATTTTTTTGTTAAATTATTTTATTTTAATATTTGTTTAAAAAAGCTTTTTAATATAATAAAATTTTGAAACTTCATTGTATTAAGTATTATTATTAATAGTATATATTTCTAATGATCTAAAACTTACTTTATATTAATTCGTTTATTTATATAGAATTTTCTTCATACATCAAACTGTACAGTCAGATTTTTTTAACGTTGATCTCGATCAAAAATATTGAATGTTAAAATTTTTTTAAAAATGTCCGGGACTGAAATGTTTCTAAGACTCTAACTTTGTGAAAAAATTTTTTTGAAGTATTTCTGTCAACGAATTCGGATTCAGCGTATGCGGTTCCACTATAAATCACATTTTTTAGCTAAGATTCGAAAAGTTTGTTTTCCCGGTTTTTTCCAAAGAGGTACCCCTTTTCAAAAAAATCGAAAATGATAGATTGGACATAACTTTTTAATAAATTGCTATTTTTGTATGAGGTTTTTTTAGAAATAAGATAAAAAAATTAGCAATTTTTTAATATCAATATACTTTGAAAATTTTCTTATCTGGAGACGTAGGGTTCAAGTTTTATAAAATTAAAATTTTTCAGTTTTTTTCAAAAAATTTTGGATTTTTTAAAGGTAGCTAAGTGAAAATATTTTTACTGTAAAAAGCCAATTTTTCTATATATTATAAAATTTCAAAATATTTAGAAAAGTAATACTTTGGAAAAGTTATGATTTTTTTTTAATTTCTAGAAATTTTTGACCATGATTTCCGGCCAAAAAAATTTTTTCCCAAAATAAAGATAAATGGGTCAAATGATATATCATTCGAAAGCTCTTATCAAGCTGAGTCTAAAAATACTTTTTATAAAATTTTCTGACCGATTATGACCAAGTTAAAAAAGCTTAAAATTTTGGGGCAGGAGTATTTCTATTATTCATTCCATATAATTGATGATGAAACAGTAATGAAAAAATCGAATAACTGTTTGAAATTTTCTTATCAGAGAGGGCTGTTTGGCTGCTAAAAATTACCAGCCAAATATTTAAAAAGTTATTTCTATCCCAGAATATTGCATTTTAAAAAATTCCAAAATATGTCCGAGACTGAAATATTTCTGGGACTCTAACTTTCCGGAAGATTTTAGTAGAATTTTTCTGTGAACGGATTCGAATTCAGCGTATGCGGTTACACTATAAATCATATTTTTTGGCTAAAATTATAATAAAATTTTTCCCCCGATTTTTTTCATAAGGGTACCCCTTTTCAAAAAAACCGGAAATGTTTGAATTGCAATAACTTTTTAATAAATTTATATTTTCGTATGGAGTTTCTTTTGTAAATAAGAGAGAAAAATTAGAAATTTTTTAAAATTAAAATAATTTTAAAAATTTCTTGTCTGGAAGAATAGGGGTTAATTTTTATAAAATCCAAAATTTTTCAGTTTTTTGAAAATTTTTTTGGTTTTTTGTAATTGGAGCTGAGTGAAATTATTTTTCCTGTAAAGTGCTTATTTGTCTACATATTAAGAAATTTAAAATATTTAAAAAAGTTGTTGATTGAAAAAATTATGATTTTTTTAAAATTTAGAGCAATTTTTCGACCATGATTTTCGGCCAAAAAATAATTTTTTCGAAAATAAAGATAAATGGGTCAAATGATATATCATTCGAAAGCTCTTATCAAGCTGAGTCTAAAAATAATTTTTATAAAATTTTCTGATAAACTGTCCGCGAGTAAAAAATTAATTTAAGTTCAAATTAAACAACCATCCTCATAAAGTGTTAATAACAATTTTTTACGAGTTTTCTCAAATTTTTTACATACTCTACCTTATAGGCACAACCAAAAACGCTAGAGACAGCAGTTACTCCCATGCCCAATGGCAACGCCCTGAACGCTAGTTAAAAGTTTAGAAAATAATTTTAATTTACCAGGGTGGGGTTGATGGAGATAATTTGGATTTCGATTATTATAATCAGATCGGGGTATTATATGTCCATGGGTTACTTGATGAATAGGGGTTCCAATATCTTGACCAGCGGGTTGATGTTGATGAGGGCTTTAATTTTAAGCGTGTTGAAAGTTAGTTAATTATTAGCAATTTATAGCAAAGAAAAGATATCTACTCAAAAAACAAAGATTTATTTTAATCGTTTTTGGCTAAACTAAAGTTTCTCAAGCAGACATATTAATAAAATATTTATATAAATTTTTACACTTGTCCCAGAATGTATTTTCCACTTTTTGTACGATCATATCCATAAGTTTTCTTAATTTAAAAGATTATTTTTAAATTAAAAATTTTTACATTTCCTTACTTCTGAGCTGCTTGAATCCTTGTTAGGATTACGTTTATCTTAAAACATATTTATTAGAACTATAAGTTAAGATGTTTATTTAATTAAATTCCAATTATTTTTAGTACTTATAGGCTCTGCTTCATAACTATAACTCCACCACGAATTTCTGAGTTTAGGTATTTGAAATTTCAAAATAATCTATGAAGGGTTGAAAATATTTTTTAAAGAGTTTTACCACTATTTTACTACCCCCGTTTTCAGGGTATCGGGATCTAGACATTGAAATGAGGTATGGGCTTAGTTTTTTTTTAATTTTTTCTTAGTATCAATAGATATGCTTGTTCAGATTTTAGTAGATTAACAGATCAATAATAATAAAAACTTTAAAAAGTTGAAACTAAGACCAAAAAAATACTGAATTAGGACTCAAGTCCTAAATTTGGACAGTTCTAAAATCTGAGGAAGATATTATTACTAAAAGTATTTTTGATTCTATTTTCAAGGAATTTATTCATATGATTTTGTTGTTATATTTAATTAAAAAAAACAAAAACAAAAACGAGTGCAAATCTTTCTGTAAAGCACCCAAGTTTAAAAAGCCAAAAAAACCAATCAGTCTACATCTTTATTTCCACGCGTTTTGGCAAAACAACCTTTCTCAGTTCAGTTCGGTTAATCGAGATTAAGCTACCCTAATAGAAACTCATTTTTATATTCAACTTCAGTTTTAATGACATTCTAGTAAATCGAGGCATTCTAATCGAGATGTTTTGTCCTACAATAAATATGTTTGTTTCTAAATTTCTCTTCAGTAATTTTATTTGTAAAATTATTTTTATTTTATTAAAAATTTTAAATTTATTATTGACTTGTTAATTGCATTTAAGAGAGATCTTAAGAGGAGTCTTAAATGCAATTAACAGATCAATAATAAATTTTAAAAATTTTTTATCCAATGCTTGACGCATCCTCTCTATTTTATTCAATTTTAATCGACATTTGCCAATTTTAATTCTCTAACTCTAAATTTTAAATAGACAATTTAAATTATTAAATTCTTTAAATAAATTAAAATAATTTAAATTATTAAAGTTTTTAAGAGATTTAATTTCTAAACAAAAGTTTGTAGAAACCTTTTCAAACCGAGGAGTATCATTACTACGGTCATGATCATCAAAAGGAAAACTTGTCTGTTCTTTGCAAAATATCGGTTCATTCAATCCTTAAAAGAAATCTTATAAACCATCAAGCAAATTTTACCATTATGTCGCAAAGGTTTTCCTAATTTCCAATCACCAAAACTCATTAAATACTCAGAAGAGGAAAATTTTCCTTTTATTCCACGATAATTAGATTTCTTATTAAAGACAGATTCATAAACATTTAAGTTGTCAGATGGAACTGATACTTCACCTTAAATATCAATATGATTAAATTATTAAAAATTTATTAAACAATTGGGGAACTTCTGTTTAACACAATATTCTTTTAACATTTCATTTAAACTTTCATTGGAAATCATACAGAGCTCACATATTCCAAAACAACTTTCATCAGTTTGCGTAAATTTATTTTTCTTTATGACTGGCAACTCTTTTGGATAGGAATAGTGAAAAGAGGCATGATGATTTTTAATCATTTTATTAATTCTAAAATAAATTAAACTTTAATTTAAACAGCTTATATGTTTTAGAATTTAAATGATAAATGCCTATACCGCTGTCTTCCTCTGTTTGAGGTCGACTTAGCCTTTTATCCAATGTTCACGAAAAAATGGATAAAAGTTGCCCAGTGCGCAGCCCGGTGCTATTCACCTTCGGGGAGGCTTGCGGAAACGCGCACCACCCTCCCCCGACAACCATTGATAAACATTAAACTGTCGGCTTCTCAGGGTCCCTAATTAAACTAAAAACCTGTACACTTTACTAAGTAAAACAATACATGCAAATAACTTAAAATTGAAATATTAAAAAAGGCAAACAAAAATAAAACTAACTCAAATTAATTGAAACAAATTATAAATATTAAACGAAAAAATCGCCAAATAATTGAATTAATAATAATTGAAATAAATCGCTAATAAAATTAATAATAAATAAACAAAAGCCATCAAACTTAGCAAATCGTAATCCAAAGCCTTAAACTCGTTAAATTATGCATTAATATTTACCAAACAATTGAACTTTAAATTAAACTATAAAAATTGCAACCCAAAACAAAACTAACTAATTAATTAAGGCACATCATAATTGATTGAAAAATTGTAAATAATTAAGCAAGCAAGCAATAATTGAAGCTGTACACTGGATACGTGGGTTAAAAAGTTTCATTTGAGTGTTAAAAATTTTAAATGTTTATTTAGTCATTAGAAGGTTTAAAACAGTATAGGGGAGGGTTTTTGAGTCTTTAGAAGACATTTTTGTCAAGTTGAATTTTTGAAGAATTTGGGGGTTTTCTGAATCTCTGAGCAGAGATACGGACTTCTAAGTGTGTTTTTTGGATTCCTCGACCAAAGTTTACCCCCCTTTAATAAACCCCCAAATTTTAACGGCTAAGCTCTATCTTTAACGGGAAAAAAGTTATCCTCGAAAGTTTGACATATCAGGGTAACTTTTTCAATTTTGGGGTATAATTGAAAAGGATGGTTTTAAATAAGCTTATTTATCATAATATTGATAATTATTAAGAAAATTAATATTTATCAGTCTTATTTTTACTAAAATTCGGTTTTATTTAAAATCTGGCTAAATTCGTGTCCGCGGTTTTGGGTCGACTTGCCTTTATTTTTTCGTTTATAGCTTTGTCAATAATCATAGTACTGAGGGTGTTTATATCTCATTCGAAAGCTAATAAAATGGGCTTCAAAATGAACCATAAATTATAAAATTAAAAAATTTTTTAGTGCCAAAAATGTTGGGTGCCGTACGTATGACCCCCTAAAAACTAAAAAATATTTTTTTGTAAAATTTATGTTTTAATGCGATTTTTTGATTTAAGAATATTGAGTGATTGGGTTTAATTAGGGAAAAACTATTGGTTTATATGATAATTGCATTGTGTTAAATCATCATAAAGTTGGATTATATTAATTTCAGTAAGTTAACGTTTTTTAAAATATATTATTATTGTTTTTATTAGTGCTTTACTCAATTATTGAAATATTACCTCAGGTGATTGATGATAAACAATTATTTAACATTCGTTTACATATTTAATGTATGTTTGATTTTTGTTTTTAATTGTATAATTTCAAGCTATTATAATTGATATTATAATTTTTTATAATTGAATATTTTTAAGTTTAATTTTTTGTGACAATCTAATTACAACAATCATTTGCTTCAATTATTGCTTGCTTGCTTAATTATTTACAATTTTTCAATCAATTATGATGTGCCTTAATTAATTAGTTAGTTTTGTTTTGGGTTGCAATTTTTATAGTTTAATTTAAAGTTCAATTGTTTGGTAAATATTAATGCATAATTTAACGAGTTTAAGGCTTTGGATTACGATTTGCTAAGTTTGATGGCTTTTGTTTATTTATTATTAACCGCTGTCTTCCTCTGTTTGAGGTCGACTTAGCCTTTTATCCAATGTTCACGAAAAAATGGATAAAAGTTGCCCAGTGCGCAGCCCGGTGCTATTCACCTTCGGGGAGGCTTGCGGAAACGCGCACCACCCTCCCCCGACAACCATTGATAAACATTAAACTGTCGGCTTCTCAGGGTCCCTAATTAAACTAAAAACCTGTACACTTTACTAAGTAAAACAATACATGCAAATAACTTAAAATTGAAATATTAAAAAAGGCAAACAAAAATAAAACTAACTCAAATTAATTGAAACAAATTATAAATATTAAACGAAAAAATCGCCAAATAATTGAATTAATAATAATTGAAATAAATCGCTAATAAAATTAATAATAAATAAACAAAAGCCATCAAACTTAGCAAATCGTAATCCAAAGCCTTAAACTCGTTAAATTATGCATTAATATTTACCAAACAATTGAACTTTAAATTAAACTATAAAAATTGCAACCCAAAACAAAACTAACTAATTAATTAAGGCACATCATAATTGATTGAAAAATTGTAAATAATTAAGCAAGCAAGCAATAATTGAAGCAAATGATTGTTGTAATTAGATTGTCACAAAAAATTAAACTTAAAAATATTCAATTATAAAAAATTATAATATCAATTATAATAGCTTGAAATTATACAATTAAAAACAAAAATCAAACATACATTAAATATGTAAACGAATGTTAAATAATTGTTTATCATCAATCACCTGAGGTAATATTTCAATAATTGAGTAAAGCACTAATAAAAACAATAATAATATATTTTAAAAAACGTTAACTTACTGAAATTAATATAATCCAACTTTATGATGATTTAACACAATGCAATTATCATATAAACCGAACTGAACTAAAAAAATGTTAAAATTTTTAGAATTTTAAAAATACTCAAATGTGGTTCTAAGACTTTAACGATAATTAAAATATTTTTTGCCCCAACTAAAGACACTTATTCTATATTCTGAAATAAAGAACCGCATTAAAACAAAAATTTTGAAAATAATTTTTTTAATTTTTAGAGGGTCATACGCACGGCACTCAACATGTTTGGCACTAAAAAAATTTTAATCCCATATTTTATGGTACGTTTTGAAGGCCTATTTATTAGCTTTCGAATAATTTATAAACAACCTCGGTACTATGATTTTAGAAAAAGTTATAATCGAAAAAGTCAAGGCAAGTCGACCCAAAAACGCGAACACGAATTTACCAAAAACTAATAAAAACAATAATTAAATTTAAAAAAATTTTAACTAACTGTAATTATAAAGCAACATGAAGCCAGCACTAAAATACATTTAGCAAATCAACGCAACTAAGCTAAAAAACGGATAAATTTTTTAGACTTTTAAAAATACTCAAATGTGCGTTCTAAGACTCTAATGACGATAAAAATAGTTTTTCCCTAATTAAACCCAATCACTCAATATTCTTAAATCAAAAAATCGCATTAAAACATAAATTTTACAAAAAAATATTTTTTAGTTTTTAGGGGGTCATACGTACGGCACCCAACATTTTTGGCACTAAAAAATTTTTTAATTTTATAATTTATGGTTCATTTTGAAGCCCATTTTATTAGCTTTCGAATGAGATATAAACACCCTCAGTACTATGATTATTGACAAAGCTATAAACGAAAAAATAAAGGCAAGTCGACCCAAAACCGCGGACACGAATTTAGCCAGATTTTAAATAAAACCGAATTTTAGTAAAAATAAGACTGATAAATATTAATTTTCTTAATAATTATCAATATTATGATAAATAAGCTTATTTAAAACCATCCTTTTCAATTATACCCCAAAATTGAAAAAGTTACCCTGATATGTCAAACTTTCGAGGATAACTTTTTTCCCGTTAAAGATAGAGCTTAGCCGTTAAAATTTGGGGGTTTATTAAAGGGGGGTAAACTTTGGTCGAGGAATCCAAAAAACACACTTAGAAGTCCGTATCTCTGCTCAGAGATTCAGAAAACCCCCAAATTCTTCAAAAATTCAACTTGACAAAAATGTCTTCTAAAGACTCAAAAACCCTCCCCTATACTGTTTTAAACCTTCTAATGACTAAATAAACATTTAAAATTTTTAACACTCAAATGAAACTTTTTAACCCACGTATCCAGTGTACAGCTTCAATTATTGCTTGCTTGCTTAATTATTTACAATTTTTCAATCAATTATGATGTGCCTTAATTAATTAGTTAGTTTTGTTTTGGGTTGCAATTTTTATAGTTTAATTTAAAGTTCAATTGTTTGGTAAATATTAATGCATAATTTAACGAGTTTAAGGCTTTGGATTACGATTTGCTAAGTTTGATGGCTTTTGTTTATTTATTATTAATTTTATTAGCGATTTATTTCAATTATTATTAATTCAATTATTTGGCGATTTTTTCGTTTAATATTTATAATTTGTTTCAATTAATTTGAGTTAGTTTTATTTTTGTTTGCCTTTTTTAATATTTCAATTTTAAGTTATTTGCATGTATTGTTTTACTTAGTAAAGTGTACAGGTTTTTAGTTTAATTAGGGACCCTGAGAAGCCGACAGTTTAATGTTTATCAATGGTTGTCGGGGGAGGGTGGTGCGCGTTTCCGCAAGCCTCCCCGAAGGTGAATAGCACCGGGCTGCGCACTGGGCAACTTTTATCCATTTTTTCGTGAACATTGGATAAAAGGCTAAGTCGACCTCAAACAGAGGAAGACAGCGGTATAGGCATTTATCATTTAAATTCTAAAACATATAAGCTGTTTAAATTAAAGTTTAATTTATTTTAGAATTAATAAAATGATTGAAAATCATCATGCCTCTTTTCACTATTCCTATCCAAAAGAGTTGCCAGTCATAAAGAAAAATAAATTTACGCAAACTGATGAAAGTTGTTTTGGAATATGTGAGCTCTGTATGATTTCCAATGAAAGTTTAAATGAAATGTTAAAAGAATATTGTGTTAAACAGAAGTTCCCCAATTGTTTAATAAATTTTTAATAATTTAATCATATTGATATTTAAGGTGAAGTATCAGTTCCATCTGACAACTTAAATGTTTATGAATCTGTCTTTAATAAGAAATCTAATTATCGTGGAATAAAAGGAAAATTTTCCTCTTCTGAGTATTTAATGAGTTTTGGTGATTGGAAATTAGGAAAACCTTTGCGACATAATGGTAAAATTTGCTTGATGGTTTATAAGATTTCTTTTAAGGATTGAATGAACCGATATTTTGCAAAGAACAGACAAGTTTTCCTTTTGATGATCATGACCGTAGTAATGATACTCCTCGGTTTGAAAAGGTT